TATTATTTCACCTGAGACTCACAGTAATGCTGTGGGGTAGCTGCTGCTTATACATGGGAAATCGATATACAGAACAGGCCACATAACTAGTGAGCAAGCCAGCTGGGCAAGGAACCTGCACGGTCTGCAGTCACAGCCTCCTCTCCCAGGCTCTCGACTGCCACTCTTGAAGCTGTTAGAGTTATTTAGAAATAATTCTTATTTCTGAATTTTAAAGGGGTAGATTTAGAAGGATTGAATGATCACTTTTCAGTTTATTTGAGGATGCTAAATTGGGCAGGCTATGGCCCATTGATTCCCTTGATAAAGGGTAGCATTTATAAAAGCTGTAGAAGAGCTTAGGGACACAGTTAATGGATGTTGTCAGCAGGGAGAGAGAGAGGGTGATGGGTATGGGATGATAGGGCCTCTGGTCTCTCTCTGGTAACCTCTCTCAAGATTAAACCCTAATGCTATATGGCATCTGTTGTTCATAATGAATGAGCCTCTCTCCTAGGCATCTAAAATGATCCCATGTAAGTACCACCGTTGGGAGAATTGAGAAAATAATTGCCAAAATAATATTCTACGCTCTGAGGTTCAGATGAAGATGCCCGTTTGACAAAAGATTGCCCGGAGAGCCATCCTTTTCCACTTTATTGTATTATTTTAAAGCTTCAGCAACACCAGTTAGACAAGAAACAAGCTCTTGTTTCAAGTATTTTCACTAAATATTTTCCTGAAGTTAACATATTTTTTAAAAATCAAGATAAATAAAATCTCCTAGTAGTCTTGCTTAATTTTGTCCAATTATTGCTTTCCTGCACAACAGTTCTTTAGCCAAGTAGCAATTTCTGACTTAATATGTAAATTTTGTATGTTATTAGAAATTCAGGTTAAAACATAGTGATTAGTACAGAATTTGAAAGTGTTTGTATTTGACCAATGACATGGAAATTACCACACTAAATGAGAAATAATGGAAGAATTGTATTTCCCTCCCAACACAGAGTTCCAGGGGTCATAAAATGACATACCATAATCAGGAAGTTTAAAAATGTTAATCATTAGGTACTTCTTACTGGATATAATTTTGAAAATAAAGTTTAGGCTTGCACCTAATTATATAGCTGGCCTAAATAGATCTGGTATCTGGTAACACTTATGCTGTGGAAATCATGGTTCATATTATTTTAGCCTCATGCAAGAGTTGGTCTCTAAACATTTAGAATTTGATTTTACTTGATAAATATGTTAAAGGTTCATTAGAATTATTGACCAATATAATCAAAGCAAGCCCTTTTTATAAAAGGAGAAACTTTTTTTTGGAGAGGTTTTTAGTATAGGGCACGTGTACTCGCCAGAAAGACAGAGAGACAGAAAGCAGAAAATCCCCCCCTCCTGGGGGGATGGCCATACCACAGTCCCTTCTCCTCCATTCTCCTCTCGGCATCTTGGGCATGCTCCCAGCGTGAGTTTAAGCCACTGGGTCCAGGACTGGAACCGCGGTCAACTTCATGGGAGTTCAGCGACAAAGCCATTACGCCAACTGCTGGTCCCAAAAGGAGAAACTTTTATGAGCTACTATTAAAATCTTCTGTAGCATTAAAAAATATTTTATTTATTATTATTATTAATTTGCTATATGTCATGAATGCTCGTAAGAGAGAGAGAGAGAAAGTGAGAAAGCAAGAAAGTCACTAGGTCCAGGAATCAAACTAATGTAAACCATGTGGGAGTCCAATGCCCTAACCCTATGCCAGCTGATGGCTTCTGCATTTAAAAATTTTTTAAATTTATATTTAATCACTATATACATTTATAGTTTACAACACTGCATTTTCCAGCATGAATACAGTGTATATCAGTCAAAACAAAGACATTGCCATATACATTATCATCAGCAAATACCTTTTCATTTTTATGTCATACATATTATTCTTTTCCCCCTTATTCCCCTCCCTCTATTTTCCACCCCCTATTACTCCTAGTCTTACTATCTCTAGTATCTACAGTTGCCCTCCTAAACTTTGAGTTTCTGCTATATAGTGCCTCGGCATTTTTTTTTTTTTTTTAAGTGAGGTTTTTGCTATAGGTCGCGTGTGCTTGCTGGAGAGACAGACAGAAAGCAAGAAGTCACCCCCTGTGGGGGTAAGGCCACATCACAACCCCTTCCCTCCATTCTTCTCTTGGGATTTTGGGCATGTAACCACATGTGCCCTGCATGAGTTTTAGGGTGCTTGGTCTGGGACTTGAACTGTGGTTGACTACGTGGGAATCTGGCCATGTAACCATTACACTGTTTGCTGGTCCCCGCACCTTAGTATTTTTAATATGTACTTTTTTTTTCTTTTAACAAAGGCAAATGTATACTCATGAAGTTTGGAATATAGAGGGAAAAGGATAAGGAAAAAAATAGAAATCAGTCTAGAATCTTGTCATCTAGAGAGAATTTTTTTTAACAGTTTGATTTTTTTTTTTTAAATTTGCCAGTTGACATGTGTAAACACCTGAGAGAGTTAGACAGACAGAGAGAGAGGGAGAGAGAGAGAGAGAGAGAGAAACCCGACCGGATCACCCACCCAGTGGGGTGTGGTCACACCAAACAAAATCCCTTCTCCTCCTCTTCTTCATCCTGTTAGGATTTTGGACTCGCATGTACACATACTTAGCATGTTCCTTAAGTTGCCAGGATTTAAACTGTGGTTGGCCATGTGGGATCTAGTTTCCTTAACCACTAGGTTATGGGGCTGACTTTAACAGTTTGATTTTTGACAGCAAGAGTGAAATTCATCTTAATTATTTTAGTTTAGGTTCTTCTAGAAGTAGACCTTAAGCTAAGGAGTTTTTAGGAAAAACCAGTGAAGATGTGGCAGATACCAGAGAGGGAAACAGAAGAAACTGAGTAAAGATACAGTTTTATGTGAAAGATCAGAAAAACTGATCCCATTATGGATCTTATTACATAGGACCTAGGAGTAACAGGCTCTCTGAATGGAGAAAATCATTTAATTGCTCTGGGGAAACCTAAAGACAGAGATGAGCAGAGTATTTAGAAACAAGTGTGAGCACACAGAACTGATACAAAGAGGTTCAGCA